GTGTCCGGAGTTAGCGGTGTTAGCCACGACTCCGTTAGCATCATGATGCTACATTGCCGGTACTCCCTCTGTGACCAGGTTAGCGACGTGAGCTCATCCATCTTATTGGGCAAATATCTTACGTTTCCAATCATTACAGAAGGAAGAGATGGTCGATAACGTCTCCTTTTCGGGCGACGGCGCTCCTTCCCAGCACGACACCCCCGTCTTTTCCTCCTCAGCTCGCTGGGAATGTCGGGTCTGTCCGCCGGCAGTACCGCTGCGGGACGCAGCGCTAACAGCTGATCCTTACTGTAAACAAAGGATCCCTGCTCTGGGTCCCCAGACACGCATGAAAAAAGTAGAAATAAACTAAGAAAAATGACCAGAACTAGCACAAAACGGTAGAACATGGTTGCAGAGTCTAATTACTGATATGTTAGTTATAAAAAATTACGAGAAGAAAAAGATAAGAAAGAAAGAAACTCAGAATGAGCAGAGCTGCTGTAACAGGCTGCCGCACACGGGGGGCGCCGGAAGTGTGATCACATTTGAACAAGGTTTTGGGTGTATGTGGTCCAAGCACTAAACCTTTTGCATACATGAAATCATATGATGTGAGACATGACTGTGTTCACTGTTTCTTCTGGTAAAATCATCTTCTCATGTTTTTATAGAAATATGATGAAAGAACCACCAATCAAAGCAGCTTCTTTAGCAGGTAGGAGACCAGTGGGTTTTCTGATGAGATCTATTGATTAATAGACCCAAGGTAGATACCGTTTCTTATTTTTTTGGTTTTTTTATTTATTCATTTATCCAACAGCATTTACATCTTCTTATATAAATATGCATGTATTTCCCTAAAACACTTTTATGGTCATCATTACATTTCAGCGAAGGACACTGTCTCAGCTGAACTCTGGACACGCACACACATACACTTACACTGATAAGCACGCACTCATCCCCCTCCCTTTCCAAATGCCTTCGATGCTTGTTTCCTGTGGGGGAAGACGGCGGGTCTGCGTGTCGCGCTGAAATGGTAGCGCTGTGTAGGACGACTGCTGTGTTCCTTCGGATTACCCCCCACCCCCCTATCCAACCCCTGTGGCTTGTCATGTGCTCTAATGTTGTGATGTGGACATTAATGTGCTCTCTGTGCAGAGGAGTTTTTTTTGTTTCCTGTTCTCATGCTGTCCTCCCACAGGTGCCCAGCGTGAGAAGAGGTCTCTTTTTTCCCATATGGAAAAGATATATATAAATCTTATAAAGTTTTTATCTGTCTTGTATGAAACTTGTATGAAAAGCATACAAGAGTGAAAACAGATATAAGATCCCTTGAAAAATTATACAATGAAACTTGTATGTTTTGTATACCTACTAAAAAAATATATGAAAGTAATGAGAAAGTGGCCACTTTCATGAGTAAATCATATATGTTTTTGCTATTTCTTTTCCATATGGGTTTCCTCTTGTACTTTTCCCATTGTTGTGTACTTTTTCAGTGTTTTCCCTGTAACGCTGCCGATCTCCGACTGTATTCCCATGTGATGTCTTTGTTGTCTGTGTAAGTCGGGGGGGGTGTCCTATTCCTCTGCGGGGCAACCTGCATATGGCCAATAAAGCATTCATTCAATTCATTCATTCATTCATTCAATTCAATTCATTCAATTCATCCACATGTGTTGCAACCTGGCTCAACCCTTCTTTGGCACATGCTTAAACATTTGAGTGATAGACATGTTTACGTGTTTTTATTTTTCCCATAGAGGAGGAGCTTGCCAGGGTGCGGTCAGCCTTTGTTTGGAGGGTGTCAACAGAAATCCTTAAACAGCTCCTGGAGGCCCTTGTAAGTGACGGTGTTTTAAATGAATTGGAGAAAGAATCGATACTGGAGAAGAACCCAGTCAGAGCAGATAAGGCACGCTGCTTCATCGACACAGTGAGGAAGAAAGGGGACAAAGCCAGCAGGACAATGATCAGATATCTTCAGACTATAGATCTCTCCCTTTTCTCTCAGCTGCGTTTATACTCTGATTCATCTGCTCAACAAGGTGAGGTCACTTTTTTTCTGCAAGAATGGTCTCTTTGCATGGTTTATTGAGATGTGAGAGAGTTAACCCTCACAATACAATGTAAGAAAAAGGAGAGGGCAAGAACATCATTCTTTGTCATACATTTGTATTTGTTAAAGTGTTGTTCACAAAGAAAACATTTTTGAAGTGCTGTGGAGTAATTTTGAAGGCCGTCATAAATCTATGGCCAGTCTGACTACAAACTTGCTTAGCAACATGTTGAAACTGACGAACTGAAAAATAATACGGCGGAAAAGGATAAATGTTGTACTTGTTTTGTGTGTTGTACTTAAAGAGATAAACAAAATTATTATACTTTAGTATTATATTATACTAGAATATTTAACAAATTTATTTTACATATCTGTTTAACTTAAAATAGACTACTCAGAATCACTCTTTGAAATACATACTACGACCACTGTCTGAAAACTTTAGTTATATTTAAGGCCAGTCGTATTTAATTGTTAAAACCATGCTAATTGATTCTTAAAAAACGTTCAAGTTTCATTCATGTGACTTGAGCGTTTCAGAAATCCTTTAAGAAAAATTATTCAATTTTAAAAGTAACAATTGACAGATCCCTATTCCCATTTAAAGTAGGAATTTAATGTGAATTGCTGAGCATTCCTTAAGATGCTTCTTTTAAACAGCTGAGTTAGCAGTAGGAGGACATTATGACACTTTATGTGATAAATTTTGGGAGTAAAATTTGAAGTGGCCCAGAGAACTGGAAACTTGTTTAGCCTGGACATGTGGGCATTGCTTACCTATGAAAAGCCACAAAGCCCAATATAATTTTATAAACTTAAAGATTCCTAAAAGTTTTGTGATTATCTGTTGCACTCCAGACTGAGCATCACTTTACTGAATGAAGCCAAATGTGTTTTTCATGACCTTAGGGTAAAACAAGTGTACAGAATATAACAAACCAAACAAAGAAAGGATGTGAAGAGACAGGAACCTCTTCATTTAGCAACCAACATTTTCAGTCCCCCTGAAAATGCTACATTCAGATGAACAGTACTAAATTTTGGGGATTAACTTACCCTGGTGATTGTGCATGCATTAAGCATTAAGAGTTCCTTTCACTGGAACTAAGGGGCTGAGCCCAACTCCTGAAGAACAACTTGCAGCTGCTTGGTCATGGAAACTCATTACATGAAGCTCTCAATGCACTGTGTTTCAGCTAAGCTAAAGGCTGCTTGAAATTTGGAGCTAACTAGCTATCCAAAAAGTTGGGCACCACTACACACTATATGCCTGACCATCGGCAGATGCCACTCTGTGATTTTACCTGGCCTAGCACTTTGTGGCTGAAGTGTTATCATTCCCATTCACTTCCACTTTTTTAATAGATGGCAGTGAGGAAATTTCATAACAGGACTTATTCCACATATGGGACATATGCTATTGTGGTAGCATGTTGGACCTATTCTTTCACAAGTGTTTGTAGAAGCAGTCCAGATGCTTAGTTTTATACACACGGACATGGAAGTGATTGGAGCACCTAAATTCAATCATTTAAATGAGTGAGTGGATACTTTTGGCAATGTAATGCACTCACTCACTAAGTCTTGCTTCTTTCTTTGATGTTGTTTGGACTACTTTAGAACTGACTTTGATCTGCTGTTAATTATATTTATTCTTTTACTTCAGAGGCTCTTCAAAATTGTCAGCCGAAACTTAAATCCAAACTGAAGAAGAAGTTCCAGTGTGTGTTTGAGGGGGTTGCTAAAGCAGGAAACCCAACCCTTCTGAATAAGATCTACACAGAGCTCTACATCATAGAGGGAGGGACTGCAGAGGTCAATGAGGAACATGAGGTCAGACAGATTGAAACTGCATCCAGGGAGCCAGATAGACCAGAAACAACAATCAGACAAGAAGACCTCTTTAAAGACTCATCTGGAAGAGATGAACCAATCAGAACAGTACTGACAAAGGGAGTGGCTGGCATTGGGAAAACAGTTTTAACTCAGAAATACACCCTCGGCTGGGCTGAAGACAAAGCCAACCAGGACATCCAGTTCATATTTCCATTCACTTTCAGAGAGCTGAATGTGCTGAAAGAGGAAAAGTTTAGCTTGGTAGAACTTGTTCATCACTTCTTTACTGAAACCAAAGAAGCAGGAATCTGCAGCTTTGAAGACTTCCAGGTTGTGTTCATCTTTGATGGTCTGGATGAGTGTCGACTTCCTCTGGACTTCCACAAAACTACAATCCTAACTGACACTAGAAAGTCCACCTCAGTGGATGTGCTGCTGATAAACCTCATCAGGGGGTACCTGCTTCCCTCTGCTCACCTCTGGATAACCACACGACCTGCAGCAGCTAATCAGATTCCCCCTGACTGTGTTGACATGGTGACAGAGGTCAGAGGATTCACTGACTCACAGAAGGAGGAGTACTTCAGAAAGAGATACAGAGAAAAAAAGCAGGCTAGCATGATCATCTCCCACATCAAGACATCACGAAGCCTCCACATCATGTGCCACATCCCAGTCTTCTGCTGGATCACTGCTACAGTTCTGGAGGATGTGCTGAAAACCAAAAAGGGAGGACAGCTTCCCAAGACCCTGACGGAAATGTATATCCACTTCCTGGTGGTTCTGGCCAAAGTGAAAAAGGTCAAGTATGATGGAGGAGCTGAGACAGATCCACACTGGAGTCCAGAGAGCAGGAAGATGATTGAGTCTCTGGGAAAACTGGCTTTTGATCAGCTGCAGAAAGGAAACCTGATCTTCTATGAATCAGACCTGGCAGAGTGTGGCATCGATATCAGAGCAGCCTCAGTGTACTCAGGAGTGTTCACACAGATCTTTAAAGAGGAGAGTGGACTGTACCAGGACAAGGTGTTCTGCTTCATCCATCTGAGTGTTCAGGAGTTTCTGGCTGCTCTTCATGTCCATCTGACCTTCATCAACTCTGTAGTCAATCTGCTGGAAGAACAACAGACATCGTCCTGGTGGTCAAAATTTTTCAATGCACCAAAACTACAGCATGTCCACCAGAGTGCTGTGGACAAGGCCTTACAGAGTCCAAATGGACACCTGGACTTGTTCCTCCGCTTCCTCCTGGGTTTTTCACTGCAGACCAATCAGACTCTCCTACGAGGTCTGCTGACACAGACAGGAAGTAGCTCACAGACTAATCAGGAAACAGTCCAGTACATCAAGAAGAAGCTCAGTCAAAATCTGTCTGCAGAGAATAGCATCAATCTATTCCACTGTCTGAATGAACTGAATGATCGTTCTCTAGTGGAGGAGATCCAAAAATCCCTCAGATCAGGATGCCTCCCGGTAGATAAACTGTCTCCTGCTCAGTGGTCAGCTCTGGTCTTCATCTTACTGTCATCAGAAAAAGATCTGGATGTGTTTGACCTGAAGAAATACTCTGCTTCAGAGGAGGCCCTTCTGAGGCTGCTGCCAGTGGTCAAAGCCTCCAACAAAGCTCTGTACGTAAATATGTACTAATCCCTGTATTTGTAACATGAAGAGTGTAAATGGTGTTGCCCCCTTTTTAAAAAATGATATAACTTAATGATCATCAGAAAAAAATCAAATACTTCAAATTGCTACTAGGGTGACATGTTTTGGGGTCTTTAACCCACAGTGGTCCTGGGTCTTCAACCTAGAGTTCTGAGTTTTCATTGCTTGGCTCAGAAGCCTCAGCTTTTAATATTAGCCAGATGCACTGCTGAGCATCCCTAGCCTCTGGAGTCTCCATCGAATCCTGTGTTGCCTTTGAACTCGACGCTGCCGCCTGTGGTCACCATGCCACTGCCTGAACTGGAACCCAAACATGAGGTTCTTGTGTCAGTTGAACCTTGGCCTGAGCCAAAGCCTAAGGCTCCCATATCACCTGAACATGAACCAGAGCCAGAGAATCCCAACTAGCCTGCACTTGAGCCTGAGCTCACTAAATCTACCAGTAACTCACTAATTTCAGTCTAGATATATCAATATAATTGTGTTTCTACCAAGAACATTTCAGTGTTTTATTTATTTATTTTTTAGAGTTATAGTTAAGTTTTTCACCTGGCCATGAATTGTAATATATGTAGACATTATTAGATTTTCTTGTCTAGGGACAAGGTATAACCTTTTGTGTTTACGTCAAAGTTGTTATATTTGGTTGTTTGTTTGTTTTTTCAGACTGAACAGCTGTAACCTCTCAGAGAGGGTGTGTGAAGATCTGTTTTCAGTTCTCAGTTCCCAGTCCTGTAGTCTGAAAGAGCTGGACCTGAGTACCAACAGCCTCGGGGATTATGGAGTGAAGAAGCTTTTAGCTGTGGTGCAGAGTCCACACTGCAAACTGAATATTCTAACGTCAGATAATATTATGTTTTGTTTTTTTAATCAATTCACAAAATTAACCAATTAAAACATTTACATTTTTAATGTAAGTTAGAGTAAAAAAAAAAATCACGTCTAACCTGCACAGCACAAGACAATAAGGATTCTTTAAAATGCAAGGACTAATTATTACTATTGATCCGGGTTGCATTATAACAATGTAGTCTTTTGTATTTTTCATGTCTTCATTTTCAGATTGAGCATCTGTAACCTCTCAGAGAGCAGCTGTGAATCTCTGTCTTCATTTCTCAGCTACAAGTGTTCTAGTCTGAGAGAGGTGAACCTGAGTGTAACCAACCTGCACGCTCCAGGACTGAAACTTCTTTCTTCTGGTCTGCAGAGTCAGAACTCTAACTTGAGTAATTTGAGGTCAGATCAAATAACATTTTGTTTGTCAAAATTAATCAATTAAATATTTCGACCAAGGTCATCTACATGCTATTGTATCTTAGCTTGGTGTTGAGGTTTTCTAAAGCAGTGTTTCCAAACCACTGTGCCATGGCACAAAGGTGTGCCACAAAGATTATTTTGTTCCACCTGTTTAGTACTCTAAGCAACTGGCGTGAGTAACAGGCAGAACAATTACATTTTCTTCCACTAGAGGGCAGTACCAGTACCTGCTCTAATTAAATGGGTTGCCACCAAAACAGAAGAAGACAAAGAAGAAATTACATAATATTCACGCTGTCAGTGAGACAATGCAGCGTGTCATAGCAATAGATAAATATTTGAAAAGAAAAAGTAGTCAGTCTGACCTGGGTCCTGAAGAAAATTCCAACCCAGATAAAGGCCCTAGCATGAGTAGTGGTCAGAAGAAAACAAAAAAGGTATACTGGGGACAAACTGAGCCAATTCCGCTATGCCTGGTGCATGGGGAAAAATTATAAATATACTTTTTGTGACATTTTTGTTTGGTAGTGTGCTGTGTCATGTTTTTAATGTGAAATATGTGCCATGGCTCCAAAAGGTTGGTAAACACTGTTCTAAAGAAAGAGGACTAAATATTGCTAAACTTCATACTGCACCATATTTGTTTTATTGTTTGTCTTTTATTTTTCAGACTGAGTCACTCTAACTTGTCACAGAGAAGCTGTGGAGCACTGTCCTCAATTCTCAGTTCCCAGTTCTCAAGTCTGAGAGAGCTGAACCTGAGTAACAATGACCTGCAGGATTCAGGAGTGGGGCTTCTGTCTCATGGACTAGAGAGTCCATATTGCACATTGGAAACTCTCAGGTCAGCATTCTAACTTTTCCACTGATCATTTAAAATATAAAATATATTATTGCAAAAAGAGCAGTTTTAGAATACATTTTTCTACAATCTGATTTCTTGAAATTAGATTTTTATCTGATCTGAGTCTCACTTCAGCAGCACTTCCATCCACTTCCATATATAAGAATTATTTTTAGAATTTTTTTCCTGGCATTGTTGTCACATTTATCTGTCTTTAGAAAAGAAAAGAGATTTCTTTTTTTCTCTCGTTTCATCCAAATGATCAAATTTCTGCTCTCAAATATTGAATTTTTCAAATATTTAGAGAAAAAAACGCCCTAATTAACTTATACTAAAAATAGTTTTACATTTTTTATCTGTACCTGAGTGAATTTGCTCCAGGGGCTCCAGGGAATGATTATTCTAAATTGGCCACATGCCTCATTTAAACATTGACAACTGTGAATAAAGCTTGAAGCAACGCTGAAAGCTGACAGCTCACTGATTCTGATGTTTCGGCGGGTCCGTGCTTTGTGTTTACGCCCTTTTTGCGCTGATGTTAGCCGCTGTTTTTTCCCCTTTTACTTACTTCCGAAAAGAAAACCTAATTTTTGCTGTTCAATACTGAACAAATTAAAACTTTTTAAAATTATGCAAAATTGCAAAACACTTGGCTGTGTCTCCAATAAAACCTCTGTAACTTTGCTCTGCTTCACTTCAGCAGCATCAGGTAATGTTCATATGTTGATTAATGGTTTTCTTTCTACTGCAGAATATTTTCATAAAATCCCAGGCCAGGAAAATCACGTTCATGTTTTTCTGTGTTTTATCTTCAGCTTCTTTGACACAAAGGCATCTGCTGTGATGCTTACACCTTTGATAAAGTCTTGCAAGTGTCAGCTTTCTTTTTATAGATATAAAAATATGTAAATGTACTGATCTGAATTATAATATTTCTAACTGTCTGAGGCAAAATTTTCCCGATTCAAATCAAATTGAATTGAAATGTGGATCAAATCGATTCGGGACCTTGTGAATCAGAATTGAATCGATTCTAGAAATCAGTGAAGATACCCAGCCCTAGCTATAAGGCTGTTGGTCCTCTTCCCATTCCGTCTGTCTCCGCTCCCCTCTTTCCACTCCAGATTCTTTTTTATGTCACTACTTCTCTTGCTTATCTTACACTGATAAACAATGTCAGATGAATGTTGTTGGCTGTTGGTAGTTTTCTCTTTTAAATAAAGCTAAATTAAAGTGAACTGATAAAAATGGATATATGTTATTGTATCTCACAAACAGAATTATTCATAATTTAGTTTTGTGTGTCTGCAGTCTATCAGGCTGTCTGATCACTGAAGAAGGCTGCACTTCTCTGGCCTCAGCTCTGAGCTCCAACCCCTCCCATCTGAGAGAGCTGGACCTGAGCTATAATTATCCCGGACACTCAGGAATGCAGCTGCTGTTGGCTGGACTGAAGGATCCACACTGGAGACTGGACACTCTCAGGTATGGCGAGAATGTCTGATAGAGAAAGAAGAGCTGGAAACATATTCTGTGCTCTGCACTCACTTCCTGTTTGTTTCAGGAAGATGTGACATAAACAATCACACAATCAGGAACATTTTGCTCACAAGAAAAACACACTTGAAAATGATCAGTGAGGGATCTTAATGTAGGAGGTCTCCAAGGACAATATCTTCAGGGTTAAGTTGTAGAAACAAGTAATATATATCTCAGTACATTTAACAGTGCTGTACTTAAATACATCTATCCCTTTGGCCCTGATTAAGATTAGATTAATTTCAGTATAGAGGGACCTAGGGGATATTATTCAAAGTTTACTACAAACAGGAGATTATGCTGTCCTACCTTGATCACAAAAAAAGATGATGGCCCAGGTGGAAGAGACAGAGGCAGAAAGGAAATGACAAAAAGGAGCGTTTTTTGGCCCAAATACAAAACTCAAAATCAGGAAACACAATGTCCATAAAACAGAAATCCAAAGCAGGTACAGGAAACACTGGGAGCTACTTGCAAACAAGAGACAGGTGAGAGCACACTACGAACATGGACACTATGACACTGAGCTGATGATAAATCCATCATGTCTAGTTGTTGCTGTCTTAGTAATTAAAATAACAACTTTTAAAGAGTCAAAGATGAAAACTCTTCTAAATCCATTCCAAAGAAACCTCCTGTTTCCACAGACTAATTTCCCTTCAGATGAACAGTACACTCCCTTGCAGTGTTGCACGTGAATTATACTTTGGCATCAGATTTCCATAATACCTTAAGCAATAACCTAATTTTAATCCCAAGCCCCAACCTTAAGTTAACCTGATGTTGACCTTCTCAGAAATGTAACTACATGTCTGGTAAATATATACCACAATGACTGATGTGGAAGGTTTCAGTGAGGGGCTAAAAAGACTTTCTGATTACAACACAAGTTAGGATATGCCTCAGAAGTGTTAATCAAGCTTAATTCAGAATCAAGTCAGTCAGTCTGATTTTTGATTTCTAGATGAAATCACTGGTTGATAAGCAGTGTGAGTTACAGAAATGAATTTTGTTCCATCACTTTGTGACTGTTGTTGTTTAACTAAAAGACTTGTTAAATACTATGAAATGTTGGACTGTTATTTTATCAGTGTCTAACAGTATGTGTATGAGAGCGATGTAATGTCCATGTGTGCATGCTGAAAGAGACTGTGCTGGTCTGATCCCCCTCTGTTCTTTTCAGGGTGGAGCCTGCTGGTGTCCAATGGTTGACACCAGGTCTGAGGAAGTGTAAGTGTGTTTTTAATGTGATTCATGAAAACAAAGCAGTACACATTCAACCATCTTCAAACTGTCACATCACTTCACATCTCTGATGTCAGGAGTCATTATCAAAGTGTCAATCAATGAACATGTGATGAATCAATAACTGCAGCTGGATTGTGTTTGTTCTCTCCATCAGATTCCTGTCAACTCACAATTGATACAAACACACTACACACAAACCTCAAACTGTCTGACAACAACAGAAAGGTGACACATGTGGAGGAGGTTCAGTCATATCCTGATCATCCAGACAGATTTGATGTATGGTCCCAGTTGCTGTGTACAAACAATCTAACTGGTCGCTGTTACTGGGAGGTCGAGTGGAGAGGAAACTTTTATATATCAGTGAGTTACAGAAGAATCAGAAGGAAAGGACGTAGTTATGACTGTGGGTTTGGAAACAATGATCAGTCCTGGAGTCTGAGCTGCTGTGATGATGGTCCTCTTCGTGTCTGGCACAATAACAAACAAACACCAATCTCCTCCTCCTCCTTTTCCTCTTTTTACATCTCTAACAGAGTAGCAGTGTATGTGGACTGTCCTGCTGGCACTCTGTCCTTCTACAGAGTCTCCTCTGACACTCTGATCCACCTCCACACCTTCAACACCACATTCATTGAACCTCTTTATCCTGGTTTTGGGGTCTTGTTTCCTGGTTCCTCAGTGTTGCTGTTTTAAACTATTCTAAATTATTTCTTATAAACTTCTTCCTCTTCAGTCCTTTAACACTTGAAACACCAGAAGGGGTCAAAATGACCCCTCTGACAGAAGCAGGAAAACAATGTCCAGGGGTATCCACTGTGACCATGGCTCACAAGTAATCAATAAAAGTCTAAGAAGCTCAGAAGAAATAATTTCCTACTGTCTGGAGAAAACCGCTCACCATCTGATGGATTATTATGTTATGATGAACGCTGACTGGCCTCAGTTCAAATCACCAGGCTACCTGTTGGACATTCTCAGTGAGGGATGCATGGTAGTTTCTTTGGTCTGGGGTATAGTCTTGTTAGAAGAATAGTTGAAGTGTCCACGCCACGTCCTAGCTTATAGCACGCCTCAGAATCAGTTTATTAGAATCAGTTTAGAAACATTTCCACATAGTGTAAATTATGATCAAAGTAACTGGACCTTCCTTATTTTTTTTATTTGTGTGTTAACTACAGATATTTAAAATCTTTGTGTGTATCTGGAATGAGTACTCTCCGTGTTTTAAGAGGGTACAGGTAAGAGCACTTCTTCTTTTATGTGAAAAAGTGATCATTTTTAAATTAAACAATTAGCATATAATATATTGATGTAGTGGTGATGGGTGCTGACAAATAACTACCTAGAAAATAAACATAAAAGCACAAAAATAGGGAAAGAAATGGGTGTGGGGGGCACTTCACAGTTACCCAATAAGATTTATAAACAAGGTTTTGGTTGTAAACCATTAAATGTTACATGTTTGCCCACCTTCTAGTGACAGTCACTTTGTAAAACATGCAACCATATTTTTGCTTCAAGAAACAGAGAGACATACAGGTAATTTTGCATCCTAATGCATTACTGCACCGTAAACATCAGTCAAAATATTGCGTGGTATTGAGATTGGCAAAAAAAAGAAAGGTAAATAACCAAAGAAAGGCCTCTCAAAGCTTGGGCCAGCACCCCTCTGAGACCTCCATTCTACAAAAATTGTGAGAACTCACATTTAAATCATTTGAGCTATTTCTGTAAAACTCTGTCTTGGTTTTATTTGTTGCTGTAGATAGGTAAATGTAGCCGATCACCAAATAAGTAGCGAAAGCAGCATTTCTTTTCATTTATATCTTTGTCAGTCAGAACAGTTTATCTCAGCATGAGACCAAAACTTTTTTTTTTTTTGGATGAATTGTGGGAAGCTAAAACAGTGTGTTTCAGCAGAGTACATTTTTTTTATTATAAAGACTTAAGTGGTCCAGTTGTTTATGAGTAACAGTTTAATAGAGTACTTCATATCCATGTCCATATTTGTACTCTTGCACAATTCACAATTTAAGTAGGATACAAGTAATTTTACTACATTTTGCAGCAGCTTAGAGGTAGTTTCCAAAAATCTGCATTATATACATAAAATGTTTCATGTCAAAAATTTATATTTACTGTAAACTGTAATATTTATAGAACGTAGTATTTCTTTTATATGTTTTCTTAATGTTTGTTAGCAAAAAGAACTTTTTTGTTTATGAGAGAGGATGTAAAAATGCTTTCTTTTTCCCCTTCAATGCATACATACAAGTAACTAGTGTATAGCATCAGATCATCTTTAGAGGTTCTTACATTGACTTGCATTAATAAATTCATTATGATGAATGCAATAATATTATTATAATATTTGGCCACCTCAGTTTAGGAGTGAATAAAGCCTAAATGTAGCTTAAAGCGCATTTAGTCATGCTCACTGTATTAAAATGTATGGACGTTGCTTTTTGCCACTTCAAGCAGTGTTGGTCCCGAAATGATTGTAAACAGATTAATGTCTCCAGAATATGAATAACACACACATACATAATATGAATAGACAACCACTAAATCATAAAAATCCTCAGAACGTGTGCACGTCAGGGCTATTGTACAAAGAAGAAATTAAATAGTTGCTGGTGATAAACATTGCTTCACCTTTCTTAAAAACCAGAGTGTGACTGAAGACAGAGAGGGCTGTAGGTTATTTCAAGGTCTTGTCTGTTGTGGAAAGTTCAGAAAATTAAATTTTTTAAAAAGAGGTTAAAAATCCAGTGTGATAAAAGTAAATAATTTTTCAGTTTATGTGAAAAAAAGAAAAGAATTTACGTAAGTGCCAGTTCACAGTTTCAGTCATCTCAGTAGGTTTTATACGGCAAGGTGAGGTTACACAACTATAAGGAGAAACTTTAAGACCCTGTGACCAGAAGGGACAGAAAGGAAGAAAAAAAAATACAATAAAAAATGTAAATGTTTAACATATATCACTATGAAACTTCATCATCGTGATCATAGTGGATAATGGCGATTAACATCATTATTTCTTTACCAGTGTTCTGAAATTGTTTTATTAGATATGCAAATTAGACCTCAACTGTCTAAATATGTGCTATTTTGAATACAGGAACAGAAATCTGAAAACTACATAAAGCTTGTTTCTAAATATGTTTTCCATTTTGCTGGCTGACTAGAGTCAAACTTTTGTTGTTATCAGTTCATACATCTTAAAATGCAGTAAAAAAAAAATCTGTTTTACTACAAATAAAATTATCTGATTCTTTTATTTTGGGATATTTCTGGGTAAAAGAAAAAATAGATAATTCTTACAACAACCTCAGGATTATATCTGCAGAATTAGGTATGGGCATCCGGAATACCTCATTATCACTAATAGTTATTCTACTGGAAATAATCAGTTTGATTTTGGTGAGTGTGGTGCCTGGGCAGACTGGGCTGGACACTGTATCCACTTGCTGAATTTGAATTAATCAGACAGTTACCTGTGGTCCTCTGACATTGGTACAAACTGACTCAAGTGGACATCACAAAGATGTGGTATGGAACCCAGGCAGGTTAAGATCACTTTAGTGTCTAATCTGACACACACAAAAATGTTCTCACAGATAAGTTAATGTTGAAAGGCGTGCAGCACATGTCTGAAAATGGCTTTGAAACTCTAGGAAACACAAAAAACATTGGTAAGTGCTTAATTAGAACAGTATGGTACTTTTAGGTCAGCAAGGCATAGACAAGAACCACTGAAATAAATATGAGCCCTGTAAATTTAGCTTCTAAAAACAGGGTAAAACGTAGCATGGTAAAAGGAAACTTTTGCCCTCCTCCTGCAAGAAGTAAGATTAAAAGGGGCACTTGAACTTAACAGAAAAGAGACAATTAAAGGAAAAAGTAAACATATTATGAACTCTGACACAGCAGGGAAGAGTTAGTTTGGTAGACCTTGATTCAGGAATTCAGGTGCTCCGAATCCAAACTCTGAGAGGAAACAGACTGAGCTGCCGCCATGCCAAAAGTCATTTGGAAAAAGAAAAGATACGTAATCCAGGCCTGGGAATCCAGTTATGATTACTACCTTAATGCATGTAAGATAACCAGGTGTTTACATGAGTTGCAGTAATCACAGTATTGCTTGCTGTGGCTGTAATCATATTATTAAAGTGCACAGTGTCTGACTGAGACTGATAAGCCTGGAGTCGCAAGAGGCTGGAGAACAAACTTCAGATTCATGAACACATTATGACACATGGCTCTAGTAGCATACTGCTGAGGCCAGCACTTACACAATGAAGGGAATACACGGATTAGCTAGATGCAGTGGGTTGATATATTGTTCTTTAATGCAAATGCAACCTGGTCCTGTCTGATATGATGGATGCAGGTTGGGTGGACTGCAGTCACATGTGATTTAATATCATTTAAGGCCTTACAACAATATTATTATGTAGTCCTGTAATGGACTGATGACTGTCAGCACGGATAGGCTCGAGATCATGTACTGGATAAGTGAGGGGGCGGAGCAAATCAAGAGGCCCTTCTGATAAAGTTAATTTTAAATAGATTATATATGCCATCAAAAAAGTTATCATTATTAAGTGTTATGTAAGGAAAAGCACAAAACAAACTGTAAAAATGTTACATTAAAATTTTTACAAGTAAAGTATTTAAGGTCAAAGTCCTCACAGCAGGAAATGGTCCCAATAGGAGTATGCCCTGTACACTTTACTGTACACATCCCTACAAGTACTCCACTGGATTGAGATCGACTGTGACTGTGGAGGCCATTTGAGTACAGTGGACTCATTTGCAGGTTCAAGAAACCAGTTAGAGATGACTGGAGCTTTTGTGACATCATCCTGAAAGCATCCATTGTACTGTAAGATTGCTACACTGTGGTCATTAAGGGATAGATACAGTAGCAGCAATGCTCAGATAGGCTGTGGTATTTAAACCATGCTCAGCTTGTATTAAGGAGCCCAAAGCGTGTCATTAAAATATCCCCCACACCACCAGCCTCAACTCATAATGCAACGCAGGATGGAGCCATGCTTTCATTTCCTTACATTGAATTCTGACTCCATCATCAGAATGTCACAACAGATATCAAGACTCATCAGATCAGACAATGTTTATCAATTTTCTACTGTTCAACTTTGGTGAGGCCATCTAAATTTAGCCTGAGTTTCTTGTTCTTACCTGACAGCAGTGATACCTGGCTCTACATGCTGTGTTCAGAGATGCTCTTCGACATACCTCAGTTATAACGAATAGTTATTTGAGTTACTTTGCCTTCTTATGAAGTTAAAGCAGTATGACCTCTGACCTCTGGGATCAACATGCTCACTGGATATTTTCTCTTTTTCACACCAATTTTTGTAAAGCCTAGAGATCATCGTGTAAGAAAAGCCTAGTGGATTAGAACCACTTAAAAACATAAGAGCCAGATAAAAGTAATTTCTAAAAACACGGTAAAAAAAACAGCATGATAAAGGAAAACTTGTTTTCCTCTTTTATTACACAAGAAAGAGACACTTGAACAAAATAGAAACAACACTGTTAAAGAAAAAAGAAATACAGTTTTGAGTTTTTCAGAGTCAGATCAACCTGTCTGAATACCATCTGGCACCAACAATCATGTTCAAAGTCATTTAAATCATTTTTCCCCCATTCTAGTGCTCACTTTGAACTTCAGGGACTCTGCCTAAATGCATTGAATTACTGCCATGTGC